CATAGAATTAGCATTACTCATAGACTTATCATTGTTTTAGACATAGAATTAGCCTTAGCATTACCCATGGTAACGTATAGCCATAGACTTAAGCTGTAATCCCATGTTAAATCTCATAGAGCGAGGGGCTGGGGGAGTGAGAGGGGGGCCGAACAATACTATTAACCATATTATTAATACTGAATTGTGGTTAAAAATTTAAACTACATATATTGTAAAAATGTTATTTAAGTATAAACATGTTGCAAAATAAATTACTACTTTGTGATATATTTCCTTATAGAAATAAAATAAATGTTTATAATAAATAAAAGTTGATATTATTGATGTAAATGTATAGTTTACAGGTTTATATTCTGCACCCTGTTATTTAAAAACTATATCAAATCTTCATTGTTATATATAGTTATATTAATTATATTATATTAAATGTTTATACTACATTGACTGTTAACAATTTAACATACAATGGTTTGAATGGATCGCCAATCTTAAACGCATTACAGTATTTTGTAAGTTCAGTGCTAGTATCAGGCAATGGTTTGTTAACACCTATGGCCTCGACATCAATACAAAAGTCGTCGCTAGTTTGTTCATTGCTGTCCAGACAGTATGAAACATCTAGGATAAAATGGGATAAGTACAGTAATTGTTATTTAATAGTATATAATTTAAAGATTTGCTTTTCTATAAAACAATAACAGTATAATATATTAAAATTGTTTAGTATTTCAGTATGCTTAGAATACTCTTAAATACTCTTAAATACTCTTAGCATACTTAGAAGGAAATACAGTGAACATCACCTAGCTGATCCAGTCGTGGTTGATATGGTCATGTCCAGTATTGTATGGAGATTCATAAAAAAAATTGTCAAAACGTGCGAATGGCCAGAATCACCGAAGTTATGACCAAATTTCCAACCACTTGCATAGGGCTGAATGCATTGAATATTGGCTTTTCACATGAGTAATGCCATTCACCAAAACTATAATGCTATAAGCCGTATGCAAGTATCTAGAAATATGACCATAACTTCGGTGATTCTGGCCATTCGCACATTTTGACAATTTTTTATGAATCACCATACAATACTGGACATGACCATATCAACCACGACTGGATCAGCTAGGTGATGTTCACTGTATTTCCTTCTTAGCATAATATAGAATATTCTTAGCATACTATAAAATGCTAAAACAAATGCTAACAGATGTTTTATATTATAATTAAAAATAAGTTATATTTTAAGTTATATAAAATTTAGAAAACAAATTAATTGCATTACAAATAATGGTTTTTGAATTTGTATGAAAATGATTTGTGATTTTGATAATTTATGAATAAAAATTATTACCCATGTTGACTTAAACTTTCTACTTACCAAATAAATTAAATGTGCACACTATTATAAACACAAAAACAATATAATTATATAACAAACTCATAATCAAATTATGTGTGAAAAATAATTTGTTAATAAAATTTGAAATATGTTTTTAATTTCTACACCTATGACGTAACATAATCGGTAATGTTACGTTTAATATGAATTATAAATAATATTTAGAAATTATGACAAATAATTTTGATTAACGTAAAGTTTATAAATCTTTATTTAACTATTAATATTTTAATTTCTAATGATTTAGCTATTATATCATTTTAACAAAATTACATTCTTAAATACTTGTAAATTCAGCTTGTGACAATGACCTACAATTTAATAATTATTACAAATGTTATAAATGTATAGCGTTGCCAAATGATATTTTGAAAATCCTGTGTAAATGTGAAAATTTGCTAAAAATTCCTGTATTTTCCTGTATCACAAATTTTTCTCTTACATCTCTTTTAATGAAATTGATGTTTAATGAGGTTTTTTTCAATGGATTCATTATTAATACAAGATTTTGTTTATTAATACATTGTATCAGTTAAAATTTCAAATTAAACTAAATTCAATCATTAAAAACAAAAATATAACGTTGCTTTGAGACGAATTTCAGTAATATGTCGAGATAGTGTATCAAGGGCTAATCAAAACTACTAAATTTACAACTCATTATAGAAATATTTATTCCTGTATTTTTCAATGTACAGGAATTACTTCTTCCTGTATTCTGCAAAAATTCCTTAATTCCTGTATAATACAGGAAGTTCCTGTATGTTTGGCAACGCTATAAATGTATAGATGGAATAAATACGCGGCAAATTCAGTTTGTGAAAATGAGTTACGTAAAGTTTTGTAATGAAAATTATTTTGTATATTCAATAATTAAAAGACCAAACAAACATGGATTTAATAATGAGATATCAGGCTATTCATTTATATATTCATTTTACATCATAGACAAGTTGTATTAATAATAAAATGAAATTTATTCAATTATGAATTTGATGGCAAAATAGGATAACCACTCCGTATTAGACCTGCAACTTTTGCTAATTTTCATTTCCCTTCCCTTCCCCGTTCCCCGTAAGTTAGGCTTACGGGGAATCCCTTCCCTTCCCCATAAAGTCATTCCCGTTTCCCTTCCCCGTAATTTCCCCGTGGAGGACACGGGGAATCCACGGGGAAATTTTTTACGGGGAAAAAAAGTTGCAGGTCTACTCCGTATATATCGCACAACTATTAAAACAGACACAAATCAATACACACTTTGAAGAGCTCAACATATTTGCAAAACCAACGACAATGGCGTTAAAATGTGTGTCAAACCATTGAGCGATCGAATCTGGGATTCAGTCAAAGACAAAGTAAGACACTTTATGTCCACTGATTTGGTGCACAAACTGGTAATGTCTGGCGATATGAGTGAAGACAACATATTATGGGCGCAAAGAATGCAAAAACGTAACGAACAGATGTTGTGGTCGTACAACGCAATCATCAAAAAGGCCCGAACTCTGGCCGCCGGACCCCACGACAGACCATTCTTCGACAACTTTGCTCAACACGTGGACTCACTCTTGAGAGAGCACAACATCGCCTTAACTAAGCTTACGGGCGAAGTGGACGCCGAGTTGGCCGCCAAACCCATGACCGACACTCTCATTGATTATACCATATTTGTTTTAAATGAGTGTAAAACGGGCTCATTATTGCGCATTGAGATGGAGTTGTTGGCCACGTATTGGATTTGTGTCGAGATGACACAATACGTGTCCGCACAGCCCAACGCAACGCCCAATGAGTTGAGTCGACTACTATTGTACGAAGACTTCGATCTCAAAACAATGACCCAAACGCTGAGGGCTTTAGTGGACGCGTATAGTGTGTCGGAGGCCGAGGAGAGCGAGTTGTCAGCACTCGTGGCGCTCACATTGGATCGCGAGCTCGCCTTTCGGGCCAGAGACTGATTGCAAACTGATCATGGCACTATTATTCAACGTAATTTCTTATGGAATAATTAATAATATGATTATTATTTGAAATAAAATTTTAAATTAACAATTTTATTGTTTATAATTTATAAATCACACTTTTATTTTATTTATTACTAATCATAAATTCATAAAATATATTTCATATAATAATTTTGTTTTTAAAATTGTTAAAATTTTACATAAATTATTGTGACTTTCATTAAATTGGCCCCAGCAAATAATCGGTTCACATTCAGAGTATGTAGCTAAAAATAGTTGCTATATTTAAATGCAATAATCTGTTCATGATAAAATTATATGTTTATTGGTAAACATATTTAGTGAAAATATGGAAAGATTATGATGGAAAAATGATTAAAATCAATAAATATACCATATAAATAATAAACTAGTTATAAAACAATTTCCATTTTAATCTCAAAGCTGAATTACCTGGATTAGGATGAATAAACTACAAACTGTATTTGAAAGATTTTTTTCAACATTGAGATCTCTTGAAACATATTCTTCAAATAATGATATATTTTCGTACAAAATATTTTCTCACTAAAAGTGTTCATTACTCCCGAACCCGATGTCTTAGAGACATACGGACACAACCAATCAAGACCTCTGATCATGTCTTTTAATGGTGACCAGGCCAGGGGCGGAGAACTATAAGGTCTTTGGCATGCTTCATTATATTAAAGTTAAGAATCCTTGTATTATTAATGTATTTTTAATTACTATGTGAAAAAATTAACATAGTTTTTAAATCAAAATTAAAGAATTTAATAGTATTATTTTCATGACTTATTAATGGTAGATCATTTACGTATTCACTAGAAAATGTGTAATCACAAAGTTTAAGAATGTACTAAAGTATAGTATGTGTCTACAGTACTAAATCAATCAGATTAATTTATGATAAACAAATATTTTACATGTGACAAATTATCATTTATAAAATAGTGCAAAATTATAACCAGTAAGTTTTAAAAAATCATTATGAATTATTTCTGTAAATATATATTTAATATTACATTATGTTAAATTATGTTTATATATTTTCATGTTTACCAATTCAATAATTATTAAATCTAAAATCTATTAATTGAATATAAATTAACATTCATATATAAACATGTCAATATATCAATATTAACAAAACAATGTAATGTTAGATTAATTAGTAATACATTAAATGTTTTGTTATTTAATATAATTTATATTATATAAAGAATTATCAGTTTGTTACAGCAATTTTTAGTAGCAATATTGTTGGTGTAATGTTGACGTAATAATGCACTAGGTCTACTATATATTGATTTTGCAATAAGAACTAGCGCCAAAATCACCAAATTGGAATTGTTTAGTTCGCATGTCTCATATTTTGGTTCAGAAATAGAGGCATTATTATGACGTAAATGTGTACTAAAAATTTCACTATATATATTTAGCTATGTCTTTAGTACATATCTAGGGTGTTTGTATTTTAGTGTAAATCTAGGGTGAAATATAACATTTAAACTTTTATAAACAATCAGTTAAACAATTTGATAACAGAATAGGTAAACGTGATTGTGTCGGCACTTTCACACATCAGTATAAATAGATTTCATTTTTTATAAAGTGTTATTTTTATTGATCATTCAATGAGTGGACGAGTGTTTGTGAAGTATTTTCAAAAACAATTGGCAATTGATTTATTGTTCAAATCTAACCGTAATATTACCCGTAATTCTCGTTTATTAACAGCCGCGTCAAACCCAGAGCTTAAAAGTACGTTAAAATCATAAACATATTTATTATATAAGTGCCTTCTAAGGTTATTTTGTATATTTATAATTTATCAAGTTTATTTTATACTGTGTTAATAATAGCACCTGATACAATGACTACAAACAACACCAACGAGACCACGTACACTTACGACCAGGCCGTCATCAAGGTCAGTTATTACACGATACTAATAATTGTTAATAACAAATAATAACCATGATTATTTTACCCAAATCTATCTCAAACAGGGCCGTAACGCTGACCACTCCATACACCCGCTAATCCTGAGCCGTACGTCTCCGCGGGAAATGACGGGTCAGTTGCTGTCGGACGGGGAACTAATGACCCTATTCGAGGCAGCTAGATGGGCACCTTCATTTTACAATCAGCAACCATGGCGATTCGCGTACGCCAAACGCAACACGGACAATTACGCCAAGTTTGAGTCATTGGTGTGGCCCCTGAACCTGCAGTGGTGTCGAGAGGCGTCGGCGCTGGTAGTGGTGGCCTCTCATAAGCTGTTTTACATGAAGGGCGACAATACTAAAGAGTTGCCGAACCCGACCCATAGTTTTGATGCCGGGGCCGCCTGTATGGCTCTGGCACTGGAGGCCAATGCCCGCGATTTGGTGGTACACTGTATGGCAGGCTTTGACTATCAGAAAGCGTACGAAGTGTTTGGTGTGGATCAGCAGCGGTACAACATTGACTGTATGATTGCGATCGGTCGCCGCCCGGAGCCCAATCTGCGCCCACACGAGCCCCGCGTTTCGCCACGAAATGCACTCAATACGTTTGTATCGGAGGGAAGCTTTCGGTTCGCCGACAGTAATAATAATAATGAAAATAAATCAAGTAATTGATTGATTGTTAAATGTTATTGGTAAATTTGCAATATAACTTATGTACTGTATGTTAATTAATTTATTTATTTTTACAATTACCAATTGCAATTGTTTTTTGAATTAATTTAATTTCTACGCTATTTATTTAATTTTTCTACAATGATACAATAAATTTTGCCAAATTTATTTATTCTCTATTTTCATTATTAGTAATTATGGTTAGTATAATAAAAGTAACTATTGTTAAATTAAATATATATAGTAAGTTATTACAATAAATGTTTTATTTTATTTAATATTATTTTTTATTTTAAGCTAGTACAATAATTGTAAAAAATATATTTTCGTTAGATTTGTTTCTATTAACTTTTACAGTTACTAACTACTTAAAGTTAATGTCTTATTAATAATTTTAACTTAAATTTCAACATCCATAGATCACTGTAACACTATTATTTTTAATAATTACATGTACTGTTAACTCTTGTATCTTAGACCAGTCCCGGTCCAGAGAAATGAGTCCAAGATAGAAGAAATCCAAGATAGATATAGTAAAACATGACAAAAATTCAAGATAGAAAATCAGTATTGTATTTGTGTAAAATAACACTTAAAGTTTGATTATTAATATTTTTTATTAGTTTAATTATAACAATTCATAGGAAAAAGGGTTATAAAATATCTAATTAAACACAGCTAAACACGATTATTTTAGAAAAAGAGTTATGTTATTACAATGTTGATCAAACTTATTTATTTTACATATATTTTTGTTGTATTTTGTATGCAATACAGACAAGTTTTTGTTAAAATAATTTTAACACGACGTTATTTATGGTATTTTATAAATGTCCAAGTTACGAGGCATTACAATAGTAATTGGGTCTCAGAAAATAAGTCCAAAGTCCAAGATAGAAAGTCCAAGTTAGGAGAGAATTTAACATTAGGCTTCTATGGAGTGAATCGGGACTCAAGGCTCGAGTCCAAGTTAGACAAAAATCCAAGATATAAGGTTTAACAGTATTAAAAAAATTGTATTTCATATCTCATACACTGTAACTTATATTATAACTTAAACTTATAGGTTTATAGGTACTGTATTTGAAAAATTTTCTTAATCTATATATAATAAATTTATTTTGCGTATAAATAACTCGAATTAATTCTATTCAATGGAAATTAGTTAAAAATAAAAGAAACATGGTTACAGATTAAACAGTTAATCTTATTATTTACTACTTTATATCTCATTGAAATAATGAATATAATTGAGATTTATTGTACTAGGATATATTTTAATACTCTTTTTAGCATTGTAAAAAGTAAAAGCTTACCAAAACAAGAATAAAAAAATAATTTTTTTAAATATTTTATTATTTATTAAGATTATTTTAAAG